GAGTGAGACTTCGCGGGCACTAATTGTGGCTGTGTGGCTTTGGGCAAATGTCCTAACCTCTCTGTGCCTCCATTTCCTTCTGTGCCAATTTGGCATAATACTTAGTGACCAACTTTGAGTCACTTAGTTTGTATAATGTGCTTAGACCAGGCCTCACCCAGAATGTGAGTCTGTGCACCCTCACACCTGTGCAAATCCATAGGGTTATGATGGGGTCTGAATGTTTTGCCTGCCCCCCAAAAGCCCACCGAGTCTCTCATGCCCGAGGGCTTTGGGGAGTCTGGGGAGGCAGCACAGGGCAGCCGGCCCTGCCCGGTCTGTGGCCACTAGACTGTGAGCCCCAAGCAAGAAGAAGGGGCGTGGTGAGCTGTGCTCTGGTCTGGCCACAGGCAGTTGCCCGCACGTGCATCCATGGACATGCACACGACCAGGTCCCCCCCAGGCAAGACTGAAGTAGCGAGGTGCCTGCCCCCTCCTCGGACGGGTCTTTCCCCCTGTGTGGGCCAGGCCCTGCGTTCCCCTCTCCAGAGAAGCTCTCCACTCTTCCCTGACTGGAGCCCCTCCCTGTCATGTTCCTCTCCTGGAGAAGTAAGAGTATGGCATCTCACATGTTAAAATTAGGAGATTCAGGTCTGTGGGTTGACAGGAAGAAACAGAATCATTCAGTCATTACCCATGGAAGTTAAACACTGCACAGTGTCATGTTCGTTAAGGCAGAGACCTTCCTGGTGAATACGTTCTTAATATTGAGCAACTTCTCTTGAGAACATTACATTTCTGGGAAGTGAGAGCGGGTTGCCATTTACCTGGGAGTGTGGGGTTTGCACAGGTAATGTGGCCGGGGTGTGGGTGTGGAGAAGGCCTACTACCTCAGCTGCTGTGAGCACAGGTGGTCTACGCAGCAGGCTGAACCCTCTCCCTGCGGGAGCCAGCTGCCAGTCCCACACAACCACCGATATTTTCTGCACCCCGCTCTGGGCCTCTGGGGAAAACAAAGTTTCTAGGAGCTCAGAGTCCATGTTGGAGACAAGTTCTCTTCTCAGTCTTTTTATTTTTTTTATTTTATTTTTCTATTTCTAGGAGAGAGAGACACAGCGTGAGCAAGGGAGGGTCAGAGAGAGAGGGAGACACAGACTCTGAAACAGGCTCCAGGCTCTGAGCTGGCAGTGAGCACAGAGCCCGACGCGGGGCTTGAACCCACGAACTGCAAGACGATGACCTAAGCGAAAGTCAGACGCTTAACCGACTAAGCCACCCAGGTGCCCCTCTCCTCTCAGTCTTAAAGGAGAGAATACAGGCCCCGGGTGGCCTTGGGCCCTCTCCCCATTCAGCCAGGGACCCCCAGTCAGCCTGTGAGTGTGGTCAGCAGCCCAAAGCCTGAGCTAGGCTCAGAGGAGAAACTCAGAGGGGCAGGGCTAGCAGGAAGATGTGGACCGAGAGGGTCCCCTGTCCTAGAGCTCCACTTGACCAGAATTAGCCTCAGCGTCAGGCTCGGGCCTGCCTTTGCACGCCCCCTCCCTCCCCATGTCAGCCTACCCCCTGCCGGGTAAGACCCCCGGGCTCCCAGCAGCGGGGGTGGGGGTGCTGAGTGCGGGGTCCTGTCTGGGGCGCTGTGTGCCTGTCCTGACTTGGGCTGGGCAGCGGGCTGCACGGGCCGCACTGGTCACCTGAGGTCCAATGCGTCCCAGACACCAGACTTTCTGCCGTGTGGGTAATGGAGCTGAGGGGCCCTGGCTGCCTTTGGGGGATGGAAATTGGCAACTGGCAGGACCCTCCCCAGGCGGCTTCCACGCCCCCACCCCTGTGCCAAGAGGTGGGCTCCCCTCCCTGAGATGTGGCCTGAGGAGGGAAGGACACTGAGCGGTTGTGACCACCTGGGGGCCAGGACATCTGTGGGGTTGCTCAGGAGTGTCGCTCCATTGCCACTTTGAGGGAGCGGGACCAGCGGGGCCTCGGGGTCGGGTGTGCACTCCGCCGCTCGCCCACCCCGAGGCCTCAGTTTTCTCTTCTGTTGGATGGAGATAAGTCTCCAATGTTGCCGTGCTTGCCATCCTACTTCCTGTCTGCACGAGCTTGCTGACTCGGGGCCCCCAAGACATGGGAGCCCACCGTGGCTGGTGCTGTGTGATTGGCTTCTTACCGGGTGCGATGTCGTCAGGGCCCGTCTGCGCTGACCCCTCAGCCGGCGCGACGGCATCAGGGCCCGTCCACGCTGCAGCGAGTGTACTTCCTTCCTTTCGCTGCTAACACTCCACCGTATGTCTAGAGCGCACTGTGTTTGTCCGTCCCTCTGTCCATGGACGCTGCAGCTGCGTCCACCTTTAGCTACTGTGGTCAGTGCTGCCGTGCACCCCGCGTGTGAGCGACTGTTTCAGCCCCTGCCCTCACTCCTCAGGATCCACCCCTAAGGGGTAGCTGGAGGCAGCATCTTCTGTTTGCCGATCTGCCTTCCCCCAAGCCTGTGAGCTCCTTGTGCCTCGGCTCAGGCCCGGCTCTGCGTCCCCAGCCACCCTACAGCCTTACCCTACGTGTCCTCTCCAGTAGCTCCTTGCTGACCCGGTGAGCGAGTGACACACATGAGTCCTAGTGCCCAGATCGTCACAAGACCACACGACCGTCCTGTGCCATGCGAAGTCCCCAGCAGTCATGCTGTCAGTTCTGCACACATTGACCGTGTGTAACGGGATGGTGAAAACTGCATTTGGGGAATTCTTCTCAGGGAGAGAATCATCTCTGGGAGCAGCACTTTGGTAAATTGCTTGTGGTGCAGTAAGACCCCCAAAGGAATCTGAGGCCACAGCAGGGGTGGCTGAACTCCTGGGGTGGGGGAAGTTCTCTCTCTCTGCTAAAAGAGGGAGGCGGAGAGGAGAGAGAGGCGAACACTCACAATAGGTGACATTTACTGCATGGTCACTTGTGGCCAGGACTGCGATTCCATTCATTCCTCAGGACAGTCCTGTGAGGTCTGTGGGCTGTTAACTCCCATTTAGAGATGACAAAACAGACCCAGAGAATTTAGGTCAGCTGACCAGTATGTGTCAGTGGTGGTGCCAGGATTCAAAGCCAGGTTGAGAGTGTCTGGAACCCATCATTCTAGGGGCAGGGGGCAGGTGCTGTTTGTTTGGGGCCGCAGTGCCCCTGCGTTTCCCCACATCTGTTGGGGACGCTCAGCTTGGCCGGAAGGAGCCTGCTTTCACATTTGTCCAACTGACATCTGGGCTGGTGTGCAAGGAGCAAGCGGCGCGGGGGCCCAGGAGCTTGGGGCGGGGAGGGCCCTGAGCGTCCGCGGAGGGTACCCGCTGGAGGCGGGCACTGGGCTCAGGGTAGGGAAGTTTCCAGGTCTCGCAGCCTCTGGGCTACGTGTGGAGGGCCGTGGGCTCCCGTACACCTGTCAAGGACGTGTAACCATCCCGAGTTTGTTTGTTTATCAGACAGTATCCACTGAGCAACTCTGTGAACCGAGCCCTGTGTCAGCCCCGGGACAAGGGCTGGTGTCTAGGCTGAGCACCGGCAGGCGGGAACCCCTGGGGCGGGCTGCCAGGGGGATGCCCGAGCCTTCAGAGCAGGGCCGGGGCTCAGGGAGGACTCGAGACTTGAAGGATCAGGGCTGGGAGAAGCACTTCCAGCCACAGAGCAAGGATGGAGTCCAGAGAGAGCACACGGTATTTTGGAAGAGTTGAAGGAAGTTCCAAGTAGCCGAAGAAGGACTTAGGTAGAGGCAGAGGGCTTTGGGGCAGAGGACCTCAGGGCAACGGACTTCCTGGTGGAGGATTTAGGGGTGAGGACTTCATGGCGGAGGACCTTGGGGCGACGGACTTCGGCCCAGAGCGGGGAAGCGGGGCGCCCAGCATCACTGTACCGTTCAGCCTGTTCTCCCGTGGAGGCCCGTTGCTGTGCGCTCAGCCCTGCCCTCTCACGCTTTCCTGGGTGCCCGGCGGGTGTGTCCTCACTCAGCTCAGCGCCCCTGCGCCCAGACGCTCCCACCCAGATGATCACGCGGCCCCCATGTGCCAGGCCCTCCGGTAGGAGAGACTGCGAGCTCTGTTCCCCCGGGCCCTGTGTCCCCACCCCAGGTCTGTCCTGCCCGCATGGCTTCGTCCCCACGCAGCTGTCCTCGGGCTTGCTGAGCACAGCCGTCTGTCCCCATGCTGTCATCTTCACCCAGATGTAAGCTTCCCACGTTCAAGTTCGTGTCTGAGTATTTCAGCATCCTCCACTCATGTCCATCCATGGTTTGGATTAGAGACGCGACGTGTTTGCCGAATGCGTTAACTTGCTAAACGCAGAAAGAAGAGGGTTTTCTTTTCACTTCCCTAATCAGGGAAAAATGTCAGGAACTAAATTCTTCCCTTTTGATTGCGACTTAAATTCTGTGGCTTTAATTTATGTAGGGAAAGAGGCTTATGGATCTGTTTGTGGGAGCCGCACTGGCTGTTTAATATTAGCACCCAAGAGACATCTGTTTTCTGCATTTCTAATCCTAATTTCTTCATCCACTGATACTTGCTGAGAGACTATGACTTTCTCAATTATGAACTGGCCTAAGTGAGCCCATTTGTACTAATATGTGTAATTACATCAAGATGTATAACACGACAGACAGGAAACCAGCATGAAGCCTAGACGTGTCCAGAAACACATTTCGTTTCATTGAACGATGGCCCACAGTTTGCTTTATTAAGGAAAAACAGCCTCCATTTTCCTTATTTCCCCAGCAAGGATAGCTGTTTGATTAGAATGATCCCCACGGATTTCCCTTCTTTACACGACTACAGCTTTACCTGATTTAGGTTGAGGGGAGAGAGGCACTTGACGTGTTTACTTGCCCGTTTTCCACGCTCAGGTCACACCTCAGTGGCTGGTGAGACCGTCACTGGAGAAGAAGGGGGACACATCTGCTGTGGGAGGTTTCCTGTCTGGAATTCTGTAGAAAGTTCCAGAACTTCTCCTCCTGTCCCTGAGGCTCGGCAGGAACACAGTTTTCCTTAACTGGTGTTCACCCCTCCCTGAAGCGCACAGGCGAGGCGAGCGTGGAAGGACTCCTGAACCAGCTCGTCCTGGAGCACCTGCAGCTGGCTCCGCTGCAGTGGGGTGAGTACCTCCGGGCGACATGCGCCCTGCCCGCGCCTGCGTCTGCTCCTGCGTGTGGCCGTGTGGGCCAGCTGGCCACGGCGAGCCTGCGTCTTTGGACGTGTCCTGTCCGTGTGACCTTGTGAAAGGGTCAACGCTCCAAACCCTCACGTGGCGGTGGATGCGAGGCCCCACGCGGCTCTACTCGACCTTGTCTGCTCGGTCTTCCGTCCTGAGTGATGGGCGTGGTGGATGCGAGCACAGTGTGCTACCCCCTCGCCCCTCCCCCGCTCTGGATGAGCTTTGACGTCTTCTCACGGGGTCCGCATGGAAGGGTGTGTGTTTGGTAAGCACCTACCTGGGTCCTCGACCCATGAGTTCACCGTGGTTTAACACCGGGAACAGTCTACCCAAATGTTTGCTTCCTGTTGCTCCAGAAGCTTTCACACTGGCCTGTGCCTTCCCAAATAGCAGTCAAAACTGTTTTGTTGAGAGGCAAACTAAATGTATTTTTGTTGAAGTGAGAGGCTTTGTTATTTTCTGGAAATGGTTTCATTATGTAATCTATTTTAGGTCAGATGCGAGCAATCAGTTAGTGTATATGTGTGGGTATTTATTTTTTTACCCCAAATATCATTGTAAATTAGTATCAAGTCTTCTCTCCGGTTAATTAAAGTATGATCTCCCCTTTGACCTGCCAGAAACACATGGGAATTGTCCCAGGGGCTTGAAGAGAGAACCCTTTCTCCTGGCCTCCCCTTAGTTCCCGTCGGTTTGCAAGACCCCTCGTACCGCAGGGGGGGCCTCCCCTCACTGCCCGGCTCCCTGCTCCCACAGATGAAGGCTGGCGGGAGCCCATGAGCAGCCGACGTGCCAGCAGTGAATGGATGGCATTTTACACCCGGGGCAGGGGCAGGGGGCTCCTTCGTGCATCCAGCCTGAGTGGAAGGAACAGTGTGTTTCTGCAGAGAATCAGTGTCTCCATCGCGAGGGGCTTCCCTCAGCCCAGACCCTTTGCTAGGTTGGAATGACCGATGTCTGGGTTACCCGGACACAGCCAGATGTGTCCACCAGATGTGGATGGCTGAGCAGGCTCATGCACCCAGGACCCCTGCTCCAGGGCTGGGACAGGCCCAGGGAACCAGCCCTGTGAAACAAAATGAAATCAAACCTGTGTGAACATATCCTGTCCACTAAAAGAAAGAACGTTCCCAGGGCCCACACAGTCCACACCCTGCAGCAGGCCCCAGGGGTCTGGACTCCCTCCAGAGCCCACCGGGAGATCCGTGCCTTTGCCTTGGCTTCCTTACAGGTGTCTTCCGTCTCTGTTAACAGTATTTGGGTCAGCCGTCCGACACACGTCATTTGTGCCCCGGTACAGTGGTAGATAATGCAGGTATTAATTACATTATCCTGGAGAAGATGCATGGCTTTTACAAAAACAATCCTAGGACCTGGAAGGCCCTGTGCCAAGTGGCGTCGCCAGGAAGCGGAGTGGCCGGGCGCCACCCCTGTTGTGTCCCGGAGCGCCCCACCAGCCGAGTTCTTGTACCCATGGCGTGAACCCCCCAGAACCCACACATACTGTCTTCCTGGTCCAAGTGTCATAATTAATTGGACTGTTACTATATCTGGCTGTTGCCAGTGAACATTCTTGGTGCACAGATTTTTGTTTGAGTTTCTGAGTGGACCAGTTGTGTAGTTTAGGAGTTACTGAGTCAAAAGACGTGAACATTAAGTCCCTCGAGCTGAATATGTGACTATTGATGGTGACGTGGACGTTGTTAGCACCGGGGTTTCTGAGGCCGCTTCCTCTGCTGTGTGTGAGCACAGTGCTGGTGTGGTGGCCTGCCGGGGACGGGGTTTTGTCCACAGGGGGGCAGGGCCTTCCTCCCTGGCCGCCGCCCATGCCAATGCCCACCCTTGCATAACCCTACAGCGGGGCCGAAACCTCAGGGCCTGCGCTCCTCAGGGTGGGCGGGGGGCTGCCGGTCCCCACCCCAGTGCTGGGCCCTCCCCACCATTCTACCAGGCTCCCCCGACCAGAGGGGGCTCAGACTGCACTGCACAGGCGGCCTAGCCCGGGCAGGCCCTCCGCTCTCCTGACAGGCGCTGCTTGAGCTTCCAGACGCTGACGCGCTTGGCCTGGGCCAACCAAGTGTTCCCTCCGACTCGGAGCAGGCCCAGGTGGGCAGCTCAGGACACAGCCTGTTACTTCACCATTTTGCACGCAGGTTTAACATAGCAGGCCAGGTACGAGGGCTCACATCACCACTTGTGATATGTTCGCATGCTGCACATGCCCTTCCCTCAACGAGGACACGGCGGCTCAGCAGCGTCAGGGGTCTCGTCCCGCTCTGCCTAGCCGAGAGGTGACTGATTCAGGTTCAAAGGCAGGTGCCCTCTCACTGGAATCTTGACCTTTCCACCAGATGACTTGATAAAAATAATATATTCTCACCGTGGAAAGCTAGGGAAAATCAGAAATGTGTCAGAGAAAAACCACCCTTTTCCCACCCTCCAAAACAACCTCGATTTCATTGAACTTTTGTGTATCTCTAAGCCTTTTTGCTCTCCTCAAATTTAAATTTTGTTTATAGAGGTGGCCATATTGTATTCGTAATTTTTTGTCTTTTTCTTTTACTTGACGAAACATAAGTATCTCCTGTGTCACAAACCTGTCGTGGGCACGCCGTTAAAGGCCTGGTTGTAATCTCATCGAAGGGATGCAAGGTCACGTAGCTCTTGCTCTGTCGCTGGATGTTTGAGTGGTTTTGGGATGTTCATTTTCCTGCACGTCACATGCAGTGGCTTGCACATAGGGCTTTTCCGTGTTGGGGTCAGTCCCTCTGCGAGGAATTCTGAAGTTGTTAATATTTTACGGGTTTGTGGTTGTAGAGTGCAAATATGTCCGCATCTGCTGCGTGATGGTGTTGTCAGCTGGCGTGGACGGGCACGCTGTTGGCGCCAGCCTGCTGTGCGTCTTGGCCCTGGCTCTGCTGCTTCCTCGTGGCGTGACATCCTTGTGCAAGTGGACGAGTTCTCGGAGCCTCGGTCTCTTACGGAGGACTCGATGACACCAAGTCCTCAGTGAGGGTTCGCAGAGACGTCTGCCTCTCAGGGGCGGGTGGGGGGCCGCTGGAATCACTGTGTGCCTGTTGGTCGTGGAGAGGAGGAAGCTGGGATTCTGGGGTGCATCCAGGACCTTCCGTGGAACGTGCGGAGGCAGAGCGGGGCTGGGGCGGGACCCCACGTTGGCATCATCGGGCTGTGGCTCCCCCGTGCTCCCGTCTCCATCTGGAAACTACCCTGCACGCTGGGTGGGAGCAGAGGGCAGGCTGCAGAGCTCCATGTCCCCTGACTGTCGAAGGACCGTTTCCATTCCAGTCCGTAGGTGTTGGGGGTGGTGACAAATGAGGCTGGACTGTCGGTCACACTGATTTCAGTTCCCAGTCCTACGTCCCTTCCACCTCTCTCAGCTGATTTCAGTAGCTTCCTAGGTACATCAGAGATGGTCTGTGCTTTCGTGGGCAGCCCGGCATTCCACATTCGCTATGTTATGCAGTGGGTGTTCTGAGCTCACATCCTCCGAATCATCAAGTGAGCCCCGCCGTGCGCTTCGGCCCTGAGCTGTGATGTGCAGGCAGCGCGCACGGGCGTGAGGGTCACGGGTCTGGGGAGCAGGAGACATGTGAGGCTGGGACCCTGCCTTAGGGAGCAGCTGCCCTCACGGTTGGAGAGCACGCTTGGCCCACACTCTCCACGTGGTTTGTCTGACCCGTGCACGCCTGTGAGGTCATCCTCTCTGTCCCCTTACAAAGTAGAAGGTACTCAGAGGTTTCTGGTACCTGAGGTTACACGGAGAACGTAGACCGTTGGATTGAGGGGTTTGACCGTTCACTCAGGAGGTAGCTGTCTGTTTGATCATCTAGTCTGTAGCAGGCACTGTCCCAGGTGCCGGGGACTCAACTAGAAGTTACACTCCATCCCTGCCTTCAGGATGCTCCTGGTCTGATGCAGGTGGTGGACCTGGTCAATTAACAGACCATCCATGCACAGCCTGGCATCCTGGAAGCAGAGGCCCGAGGCAGCCCAGGAGCCAGACTCCGGCAGCCACCGTGTTACAGAGGGGCCAGCCGTGCGCTTGGGGACAAGGCACAGAACCACTTGCAGGCCCGTCGCGTCTGAGTGTTGATCCTGTCTCCATGGCACCTGCTGCATTCGGCAACTCCGTTCAGGAGTCTGGATCTGGGGTCCAGGAAGCCAGGCTGTCCTCACCTCGGGTGGGGGGGCTGTATTTTGGGGACACTCCTGCCGCATGTCTTTTCCTCACATGTGTCACGCAGAGGCCTTGTGGGGTTTGGTTTGTCTCTGACCTGAGATTCGTGCGGAACAGCTGCAGTAAGTCAGCAAGTGCTGTCGTGCCTCAGATGCCTCGGGAGGGAGAGTGGGGAGCCAGGTCCCAGCCAGGCATCGGCAGGACAGTCAGCAGCCACACGTGGCCGCAGGTGGCCCAGGCCTCCCTGGAGGCTCAACCTGCCCGCCAAACCCTGCCCTTTCCCAGGGGACCTGGCAACAGCACAGGGCTGTGGAGTTCTCCAGGCATCGTGCCCAGGAGAGAGTGTTCGCACACGGGCCCACCAGTGAGGCGGGCTTTGTGGGGCCGGGCTGATCAGGTGGCTTTGGTGAGCCAGAGAGGAGGTCAGCCTGGGCTGGGGGGCTCCTCGGGGACGTCTCACTGTCCCTCTAGCACCTTTGCCAAATATAAGTATGTAAATTTGTAAAGAACAGAAGAATAGAAAAAAGTTATAAAGAATATAAGAGTAGTTCTACTCTTCTTGAAGAAAGAAGTGGCGACAAAACCCCATACACACAGGCATGCCTGCCTCCCCTCCTTGGGTGTGACCCCGCGGGTTTAATGGGTCCCCTGCGGTCCTTTCACGGGTGACGGGCAGTCCTGCCAGAGGGCCCGGCTCTGTGCCAGGTGCTTCATGGGCTCTGTCCTCACAGCCAGCAAGGGG